TATTATAGGACGTTGATGAACGAGGATAACCCGTGCCAAACGACAACGACGGACTTGCAAATGGTGCAACCTCATCATCACCATCATCAGAATCATTTTGCTGGTTTCTGAGGTAGATTAGATAGATCCGACTCTTTAGTTTGAACTTAGAAGCTCCTCTATATATATATATATATATATATATATGCTATTCAATTGCTTTCTCCTGCTTTACAAGGAAGGGTAGTGACGTCTAGAAGAAATATATATTCCTTTTTTTTATTTATTTTTTTCCTTTATATAACGTGTCTGTACCCCATTTGATCATATTCCCTTGTGTTGTATCGTCTGTGTTTTTATTGTAAATGTAAATTAATCTCGATTGCATATGATTATATATGAAAAGAGGGAAGTCTGTGAGTACGCATAAGAAGAAACGACGAAAAAGTGTGACACAGACAGATAACCGTTCTGCTCTACAGCAGACGTAATATAATATCAAATGTTGGAACAATGATGAAGTTGGTCATAAGCGAAACGAAATGGTGGCAGAAATTAAGGAATGGATAGGATACTAGTGATTGATAAGAGAAGACACAGAGTGGGAAACAGATGGGCGTTGTGTGTGTATCCTGTGCGTCTTGTTTGAACCAAGAAAGTTGTCAGGTTCTGGGGTGGTTACTGCATAACATGCATGCATAGCCATGCAGCTCTTTTTTCCCTTAATAAACCCTAATTAACTACTTTACGTAACATAAGAACATAACTTGAAATTAGTTATTTCTCATGAAATCTTAATAATATCAAAAAAGAGGGGATAATGTAGTAAAAGAAGTAATAAGTGGAAGAAGTGGGTGTGGGGAATGAACATGAATAATAAGGAAGGAGAAAAGAAGAGGAGGGAATGGCGGTTTGGGGTGTCCGTGCATGTGCTGGAAATGAGCGTACTTTGTTTTTTGTTATTATTATATATATATATATATATATTAAGACACAAAGGACAAACATTAATATTAATAATATCATGAAAGTGAAAGTATGTGGGGGAATTGCACGTAGTGGAAGTGACACGCCAGAGAATCCCGCCTACTATTGTAGTAGTATTGTACAACGTAACAACTCTTCCTTTTTGTGTCCTTTTCTAATTAACCTGAGCTGTCTCTTCAAAATGAGACTCCATCAGTCATCTATATACACACACTAATTGAGACAAGCACAGACGTATGTACATAGACAGGCTTCACAATCATGTGTTCCCTTTTTTTTTATATACTCTTCCAATTCTAAATATAAGACCCTTATACACACTAGCATAAGGGGCAGAGAAGTATATCCAAGAAATGATATTGTTTTTCCTTTTTTCAACGTCCAAAAGATAAAAATAATCTTTTCAGTTTTTTATTGTAGTCTTTCTTGCATAAACATTAAAAATGAAATTATAATATACTACGTAGAAGATAAAAACTGGTCTAATGGACCGTAGAGATGAAGCATTAGAATTAGAAGGGACAGAGCATGCATCTAATAATCTCATATCGATCCCTAAAAATCTTCTTCCCAATAATGCTTGACATTGTCAACAGCAAGTTGTCTTAATAGCAACACTAATTAACAGCTTGGATGAGATCTCGAACTTAAGTCCAATCTTAACATGTTTGTGTGCACTTATGTTTAAATTGTATGAAATAAAAATAATAATAATGCTCAACATTCAGTCAGCAAGATAATTAAGAGCTTGTTTTATCCAACAACCCCTAGTTGAGTATAGAATTGGATTCCAATTATTTATTTTTAATAATGCTCAAGACATTTTTTGATAAATTTTTTTAATTAATTAATTAATGAAGCTTTCGAACGTTTTCTACTTTTGGATCCATTAAGAGCTATAGGAATTAAATTATTAGTAACGATAGGCTTATCACATTAATCTAATCAAGTCATTATCATGAGAGTGCTACATCAAGCCTTTCCCCTTGACTTTCCTTTCTTTCAGTTTACTTTAATGCATACGTCCCTCTAGATTAGGTATTAAAAAATTGCTGGTTGTATCATTAGTTTTAGTGCATGAGGTTGAGAGAATAATTTAAATATTAACAACAATAATTAAGGAAAAAAGAGAAGATTTTACGGTTCAAATTCTCAAAATTGCCTAAGATTAAGAAAATATTGATAATCCTTCCTGGCATTGACTATAATATGATGGTTAAATTTAAAGCCTTCGAGAGCAGGTTTATAATTAATTATTATTTTCAGTAAAATTTATTATCTTGTATATATAAAGAAGACATATCTTCTTCCACCTAAAAAATAAAACAAGAAGAAGAAGACATGTGGTTAATATTGTAGGTACGGAGTCAACAGTTTTGGTATTTTAAGCAACAAGGTTTTAAAGTCAGAATTGGCCTCCTTTGATGATGCAATTTGTATCAGGGCTTTCCAGAGCATATTATCATAATGAAAATAATTTCGTACCAACCCTTCACTTCACCACTTGAGCACCAGTTTCTAATAACACATCCAAATAAATAAGCGAAAGATATGTTATCTGGGGAAAAAAAAAAATGGGAATCCGAAAACTACTCGTGAAAAGATGGGGAAAATGGGAGGAAAGACGGGACAAAATAATAATAATTCAATAAAGGTTAGTGCAAGATTTAATTTAAATGAATAATGATGACAATAATTTATTAGTAAAAGTCCTTTATTTAGTTGACAATGAGTGGTTGATAATTTGAGGTACTCGGGAGCAAGTGGAATCATTATGATGGAAACAGGTAAATGCAGTGGACCTGCTCAGAAGTTTTCCTGTTTGTGAAGGGTGAATTTCTACTCAAAGCTTATTATATTATCATCCTATAAATTTTTAATGAAATTCAAACTTCTGGCGTATTTCTATAACCAATCAACTATTCACATCCCTGTCATGTTTTTATTTTCCACATGTAGGAGAAATGGGCGAGCATTTGATTTCATTATAAAAAACCATAAAAATCGTATTTTGATGATTTTCAATATGAAACTAACATGCACCTAATCCTCAATTTCGAGAGAAAAAAAAATCAAGTCATTTGTATGGCGCGGGTGAAGCAAAGAATTGCAGTTTAAACAAAACATGTAACACACAAGGCCGAATATATATGTATGTATGTAACACACAATGGCACAAGTGAACCGTAACAACTGAGGAAAGGAAAATCATTTGGGATCCAGCTTAGCTGAAGGAGGGTTGAAAAGTCAGTCCGTTTGCCTTCAAATAAACTCATTCGGTTAAATGTTGAATCTAACCTCTAAGGGCACATTTTAGTTTGTCTTGCGTTGGCACTGCAGGATAGGAGGAAAACTAGTTCTATATTTTAATGGCATTAATTAAAAACGTTACATTATAGACAAAGATTTTCAGACAAAAATTTTCAAACATAAATCACGATCATCCAGACTCAATCAAATTCATCCAACATCAAGTTTGCACAACTCCGGTCCCGGCGATACACCTTTTAATTGAATGAAGCTGATTCCTGAATGCTAATAAAGGGCCAAACTTTGTTTGGACAAAGTGAATATTTTCAAGACACGCGTAGTCCTTGTATCTTGCTGAGCAAAAGAATGGAGAAGGACCAACAAACTTCCGACAGCCATGAATCTCAGATCTCCCAATAAATCACTTGCTCTACAATTTCCAGCAGAAAGATCACTTGCGATTCAAAGTTTCTCTTCACCTCTTAGTTGAACCCCAAATGGAATGAAAATTCTTAGCCAGAACAATTAATGCCTAATCCATGAGGAAGAACATGATCTGAATGACGCATCATCCACCCAATCAGTTTCTGAGGCCATCAGAAACGTGGTCATCGTGATCTGAATTGACCAACAACCAACAACAAAGATCTTGCTGCCCGCCAGGTTTGCCAAATACACCTGATATAACGAAGCTGCACAAGCAAGCAGTTTTCATAAGATGTATCACTTCACATAATCATATTTAACTCCGACAGGTCATCCATCGGTATTTCAAGCCCAACAGTATCATCTTCTGGCAAACCATCATCATCAAAGTTGAACCAAGAACTAAGATCTTGGTGGCCACCAAGTTCACCAGATACGCCTAATTCTTCCATTGAATCGAATTCATGTAGTTGCAAATTACCCAACTCGGCCGATTCCTTCTCCTTCAATGTGTCCTGGTTACTAGACAATGGATCAGTCTCCTTGCCATCATTAGTTCCTGCATTACCCACAAAGATATCTTGATGTCCACTTAGATTACTCTTCTGCTTGGGCTTTGTTTTAGGTTTGCACTCATTTCGGCTATTGTCCAATGACAGGTCTCGGGAGATGGATATGTGTCGACTCTGGTCCCTGCTTTGATTCCTCTCTCTCTCACTTCTCTTTCCCTTTACTCCACCGTGAGCAGGGCCATCAAGATTTGGTACTCTTGAGGAAGAACCAACACCATTAACCAGCATTTCCTTCTTTTTCTCCTTGACAAGCAGAGACCCATTTTTGGATGATCCTTGTTCTGATGAGTGAACTGAACCATGGAAAGAATCCTGCATACCTCTGTCTGCATTATCTCTATGGGGATCATACTTCTCAGAAATACTGGAAACCGCACCTGCATATAAATCAACTTATTTTAAAATAAGAAATGTGAGAATTCAATAAACTCCTAGCACAAAAAACAAAGAGGAGGGCGGGGGAGATTGTGATTTCTTAAAGAATGCTGAGATATGACTAGAGCACGGACATTATCACAAGAGCATGTGGAAGTAAAAATGAAAAACTACCTGATCTTCCGGCCTCCACTTGATGGGAAACTTTATTGCAAGTGTTGCTGGCTGTCATAGAGCCAATGCCTTCACCGGATTTTGCGTCATTGTCACATGAAGGGGCCAAGAAGATGATATTTTGAAGGGCATGTTCACCAAAGCAGCTGTTGCCAGTTTCTTCATAGTTTTTACATCTTCCAAGAGCACGCTGGAGGAAAGACAGGGCACCTTGTTTTGACACCTTGTGAACTACACTTTTAGAATTTTTGCTTCCACGACATGCCTGTTCAAATTTCATTAGATAGGAAGTTTGTGGTCACGGGATGCCTCAACTCACCCATTAAATAATATTAATACTACTAAGCCTTCAAATTGCAAAGTTGACTAATATAGCAACAGATTTACTGTCCAGTACAATTATCCAAAGATGGATAAAGTTAATTCAGAGTAATCTTGATATGATATTGTAATAAATAAATAACAGAATTATGTGAGTTAGTTAGAATAATAGTTAGTTACGAGCCGTTGGACTCTGCCTATTATCTCTCATCTGTAAAGGTGCTGTATTGTGATCAACCTAATGGAACTCTTCACGTCTATTGCCTTCTACTCTCTTCCACTTCTCCCTCATTTCCCCTATTCTCTCTGTTTCTCTTCCCTCTCCTCTCTCTCTCTCTCTCTCTTCCAATAACATAACAAATCTATTCATCAGTAAGCACGTGTACCCGGAATGCCGATATTGCATACTTGTGTCAATATCCAATATCAGACAAACTGGGAAGCAGCTACTGGGATCAACCGATCAACTCATTAATGAAACAAAAGGAGGGAAAAAGATGGCCCTCAATGTGAAAATTAAAGTTGAAAAGGAATCAAAAGGTTTTGGACTTCTACATAAATTATTTGCAAGTATGAAGACCACTTCTCACGTGTACGTCTTAACAGATAGTGAGGTATTAGAATATTACCATTCTCTTTCTGTAAGCCGTCTCAATAAGTTGGTCATATGCAACTTGCTCAATCTTCCTGCAACGTAAGCACTAAATGTTATTAAGAAAGAAAAGGAAGTCATGAATGCCAAGATGATAGTGAAAAATGAACCCAACTTTTCAACACATCAACTCAGTAAGATTACAAAGGAAATATTCAAATCATTATAGAACATACCGCCTTTCTGTATCTCTCACTTTCTGAACAGCTCGATCAATTCTGTCCAAGTTTTTCTTCTTCCTCCCAATCTAGTAGTCAATCAAAATAAAAGACAATGTTATATGAAGGCAGAAAATTCAAGGCCAATAAAACCAATTCAACAGATTTCATCACGAAATCATGCTCTAGCAAAAGCTCAGTTTTATAGGTTACAAGTGAGGTGCCGCACGTACCTGTTGATGCAGCCCTTTCTTGAGTTCCATAATATCTTGATTTAAGGCTTCATCTTCCTCAGCCAAATCAGGCTGCAAAAAGCAAAGGAAGTCAAAGGAATAAAATGTGTCCATTAATTAGGTAAGAAACAACGAACTATGAAATTGACAATTCAACATATGAAATAAAGTCTAACCAAAATTTCTGGATATATGCCAATACTCTGCAACTCAAGCAGAAGCCTGTCATCCAGACACATCTGCTGATACTGAACATCCGAAGAAGGAAATCCAGGACCACTTAGTTCAGCGCTTGGAAGCTGATCAAGGTCATTAGAACATATTTCACTAGTATGTGTGATATCAGAATGGGAAAACTCTTCATCTCCCTGCCAAACTCCAGTGCTTTGTAAAGAACTGGATGTGTTGGGGTACCTAAATGTGTTAGATGCAGTGCTCTTATCACAAGATAGTCTGTCCAATATAAAATTCTTCTGAATTTGAAGTTCCCCCTTTGACTCAACTTCAGAGTCCATTTTATCGTAATCTTTGGGTTCAAAATCAATTTGATTACAAGATCCACAATGAGAATCATCACTGGCACACTGTCTAGATGTATTCTTTCCCTCGTTGTGGTGGTAAGATTCTTCAATTTCATCTTCTTCAATCAAAGCAGAAATAACTCTTTGGAACAATGGGGAGACCTTTTCCAGTCTTTCAAAGTCACTCTTTCCACTAAAAGCATCATTCTTAGTTGACTGCTCATCACGTTGCCTCCTCTTTCTTTCCCTTAAACCATGCATAGCTTCATTGTTTACCACAGCACCCTGCACAATTAAAATTAAATATTCAACCACACCAACAGCGGGAGTTACAAGAATAGCAGCTACAGATCTAAGCAAAAATTACAGACAACACGAAAGATATAGACTTGTTCATATATACTGTTCATTAATTACCAAAATATCATGATCAACATCAAACATCTGAGATAAACTCTTGTCAAGTTCCTCCGCAGAATTTAGCTGATGAAGTATCAACCAAAAGAAAAAAAAGGTTTGTCAGAATCTTATGAAAAAATCAAGAATCAAATGAAAAAATCACAAGGCTATATGATCAATGAAATGTGTGATTTCAACCCCACAGTTGCTAGTTGCTACCTGTTGTTTCAAGTATGATGAATCCTCCAAGCAGATAGGACTAAAAATAGACTCCATTTTACGCCAAAATGGACCAGAACATGCACGATCTACATATAGAGCACCAGCAAACTAATAAGGCACAGAATGTAGCATAGAAAGTTATGCCATCAAGGATAACAAGGAAAATTTGGGGGATAATATGGTTCAAGATACATACTGCCAGCATTACGTGCAGAATTGGCAGCTTGATATAGCTCTTCACGGTCATCATCACATTCACCTGGACATACATATTTCAATATAGTGTATAACCAAAGATTCTGTAGGTTATAATCAAATAATTAAAAAATCAAGAGAAGAGTATAAAAACATTATATAATACAGTAGCCTTTAAGATCCTACACTAGGCAAAAATTGATGACATGATAATTAGTGAAAATAGGCTTGTCATCACTGCTATTTGTTAGAGACTTGGACGACCTTTTTCTCCCCCAACAGACTTGCAGGACTTTAGATGTCTTGGTCATAATGAAGATAAATTCCAGAAAACAACTAAGCCAGGTTTCACAGACATAATATTACCTGAAAACTTTTTAGCACCATCGCCCAAAACCTGCCCCACATGAGTCAAAACCTTGCGATCTTTTTGCTTTTTCGACGGAGGACGGCCATACTTGCTGCACTCAAAAAAGGTCAGGGTTTCATGACAGTTTAAGCAGTGAAAAGAAAAAAATGCTAGGTCTTGGAATAAATTCACCATACATTTTACTCTTGTCATTAGATCCCATGTTCTGCAGCGGCTTCATTATTGGTAGACTCTCTGTTTTCTCCCTCCCTGAAGGAAGGCCTGGCCTTACAAAGGATAAATTTCTTCCAAGTCTTCCTTGTCTCTGCACACAATCTCCAGATTCATCGATTGGAATCTTATTCTTCCTCATCTTTAATTTCAAAGCCTCAGCTTTTTCTGCTGTCGGAGTAAAGTCACTATTATTCAATCCTTTCTCTTTTATTTTGTTTTCCCCACCTCCGGACTCTTCACTTTCAGATAAGCCAAACGGAGATGAAATATCATCAGATGGTCTCTTATATTTTTTAGTACTGTTATCCACACTGCTAGCCATCTGAGATCCACTGCTTCCAACAGCAGAAGTTCTAACGCTAAAATCAGGAGTTGGACAGCCTTCAGCTGAAACCTGAGTTTCTATGTTACGTGAAACAGGAGAAACTACATTTGCTCTTCTTGAGCGGGAATTTTTATGGGGCCTCTGACCAACCCACTTGGTCATTGGATGTATAGAAGAACCTGAACCTGTAAATGTGGAACGATTTTGGTGATTTGTCATACAAACCATTAAGACTTCATAACTGAATATGAAGGCTTTAACCAACCTGGGAAAGAACCAGAAGAAGGCTGAGTACTAGAAGAGTCTAGAGCCGTAACTGAACCTGTTCGTGGTGCGCGGGATACCTTGTTTTTAATCAGCGTGTTCGGACTACTTGCCAGACAATCCTCCTGAGCGTTTGCCCTATTTATAGTGCCATTAACAGAAAAAATTTCAAATTTGTAACATCCAAGACCCAGTCTACGACATATATTAAGGCAATGCAGGATCAAGATAGGTTTCCAACCTGTTGTTTCCTTTAGCTACTCTATGCTCTAAAGTAGGCATGCTGTCCCTGTGAAGAGAAGCACCCTCTTGCTCACTCCCAAGCATCGTACGCACACCTGAATTAGTAGGCTCTGAAGAACTTTCAGACTTGTTGATTCCACAAGCTCCAGGAAGAGGCTTCGATCTACAATTTGAAAAAGCATATTAGGGAGATAGTATTATCTATCCACTTGATTGCCAAGAATTGAATGAGTTGCCAAATTAGAAGCGATCAACAGACACTCCAAGGGATGAATAAATTGCTCAAAGTACATAAATAATTCTCAGCATGTTCCGAAAGGCTTCCACATCATTCTTTCGCTATAATGAACATTACACTTGGTGAATAATCAATATACCCAGAATCAGTGAAAAAGATCAAACTACCTGAAACCCTGAGGATCATACAACCGCAATTTTAAATCTGAACTGGCCTTGGCAAGAGTAGCTCGCTTTACATCTCTGTCACCACCTATAACCCTGTTACCTACAGCCCCAACAGACCTTTTCTTCTTTATTTTATGATCTAACCCTTCTCCTCCAGCAAGCAATCTGCGAGTCTTCTCTTCGATTCGGACTGAGCTCCCTCCAACTGTCTGAATCAAATTACAATCCTGCTGCCTCATAGCAGCAGCAGACCTACTTTCTGACTGGAAACATTATGAAGAGACCACAATCAATAAGTGAAATATGGGGTAAAATAACATGGGCAATTTTAAAAGCGGTCACAAGTGTCAATAACGCTTCACTCGAGTTGAGAACAGTAAAAAAGATCTCAAATATATCAGCCTGGAGAATTTCAATACAGGCTTAAGCAGCTTGAAAAGTAGTTCATTTTCAAAAGCAGCATAAAAAGTACACTATGTCACAGGGGCTTTGAAATGAATTCAGTGAAATTCACCAGAAAATGAATTTAGCATCTTGCACAGAAAGATAATGCTAAAGCCATAACCCTTATCCTCATAATGCTAAAGCCATAGAAGCAGAGACAACAGATATGTTCTCACAGTTAACAATAGCATAATACAGATACACACCCGCACATCCGCTACAGATGTTCGAATCCGTTTGTTCAGTGTAGAACTTGAGGCCTTGGCTTCTGATTTTTGAGTTAGAATATCACTAGAATTTCTATGAAGCTGGCTACCCATCTTTGTTAAGTTTACTCCACCTCCCCTGTCCATCGGAAAATCAGTTCTTTGTCGCTTCTTTGAGCTTAATTCCTCCCTATATTTATCCAATTTAGATATAGAGTCCCGCAACATTTTTGCTCTATCCCTGATCAACAGTAATTTACAATAAGAAACCAGAATGAAAATTCTCTCTCAAATATTAAAGATAAGCAATCCACATATAAAGCATACGTTGCCATTCCAGAAACCAACAATTTAAAAAGATTCACACTGTTATGCAAGGTCATTGATTACAAATGTCAAAAAAGACTAAGCATTTAGAAAACATTATCGACATTCAAGAATATATTAGAGGAATCTGGGGTGAAATGGAAAACAATATATACCTCGCCTTTCTGGAGTTAACTTGCACGCTTTCTTTGAAGTGCTTTAGCTCCCCTGAGGCTAGTGGGGCCATGGGTTTTTGATGTGGAACACCAAGAGAATGATCTTCTGAAGTGCTTCCCAAGGGGACACCTAGAACCTTCCTCAGCTCTCCAGAACGAGTATACTTTGGATTGCCTAATATAATTGGATCAAGTGGCAAGCACTGAGGCAAGGGTGGCATATCTGATGACGTTATCCCGCTGCTGCTGCTTGCGTTATTTTCAGAACCCAGCATTAAGCTGATCTCCTTGGTAAGACAGGTAAGTGAATGTCTGTCTTGTTAGCCTGAAATCAAATTAAAATTTATAACTCCTGCACTCAATTATACATGACGGGGTAAAAATTGTTAGTGCTCCATTAGGCATCCGCTAAATGCATCAGCAAACAAGTATATGATGGCAATAATGGCAAGAGATACAGAAGGTAAGATTTACTTTTCTGAAAAAAATACTGAATGCAGGCTAAGAAACTACAGCATTATATCAATTTCAAACGATGCGAAGCAAAATACAAATCTCGATTTTCCAGAATCAACATAAGCCTAAATGTTTTGCTTATTTTTTCCTACTTTCAGAAAACGATCCAGCACGATTACCATAAGGGTCAATATACCCCATCGAACATTACTAATCACTAGTTCCATAAAATTCCAAGTCCTTAAATGAAATGATGAATAAAACTAAATGCAGGGCCTCCAATAGTCAATGAAAGGCGAGAAGAATATAATGAAGAGCCGAGAAAACCAAAAAAGTTTCCGTTTTTGCAATAACTCAAGATAATAAATGCATTAAAAATAAGCACAGATAACAAACGCGTCGAACTACAAAGCCTCAGTTTCTCAAGAGCTGAACTAAGGATAACCAATAGAATCAAGTGTTTTTGAACAGTAAGAGATGATTCAACTTGACAAGCCAAAAATCGTAAACCCTAGGCGAGAAGGTGAAATCCTCACCAGTAAACAGATCGATTCGTAGAATTAAGCTGAACAAGTAATGATTAGTTGGAATTGGAGAACTGAGAGGTATAAGTACCAGCAATTAAATGAAGTCAACTTCGGATCAAAATCAAATCGTCGCAGAGGTGAGAAAGAGCGAAGCCGGGGAGGGGGGGGGGGAACGCGGGAGGACGACGGACATTATCAAGTTTTCGTACATGCGTCGAAGTTGACTACTATTTTCGCGAACCAAGGCAAAAAAAAAAAAATTGACTAATTTAAACAGATTATAAAAGGGAAAATGACAATAAAATACCACTTCAATTCCAAAAGGACAAATAAGGGACCTGAATAAGCAAAATGACAAATAGGGCACTGGGTATCAATTTGGAATTCATATTTTCGGCGAAAAGACTGAAATGCCCTTATCAGTGAGGTAAAATGAAGTGAAACTGAAATGAAAATAAAGATGGAGCAGAGCACCGGTTGAGCTGATTTAATAAAGAAGGAAAGAGAAACGCTGGAAGAACACATCAGAGCTGAAAAGAGGTGAGTTTAAGTCGGTAGTCTTTGGAAATGGTATAATCTTACTCCTCCGCATCATAATTTTTTTGGGATTGCTGATTTAATAGATTTTGGTTATGGGCGAGAGGTTTTGTAGCAAGAGAGAGAGTAAACATGTCGCATTAACTGATGGTGGGGTTTGGGTAGTTCCTTTTTGTGTCTGCTTTATGGCGCAATGGTGGGGACGGGTGTGCTGGAGATGAGGTTTTATACTTTATATTGACTATTTCGAATGACGTAGCGGAAATCAAGAAAGGTGGCAAGCAATTACGTAGGCGTGAAGTTTGCGTTGAAGTGGTGAACGTTGTTAAAATCAATAATGGAGTTGTGAAACCCTATAATAAAGTTGCGAATAGAAGAAAAGTTTCTCTCTTTGTGTGTGTTTTGGGTGTCACGTACGTTGATGGAAACTAATTGGCGGAGAAGTTAATTTTTTTATATTTAATGTTGTTTGCTGCAGGTTAGCAAGTGGTGATGTCTTGTAACATTGTATCAACATCTTCAAAAAGACTTGCTTGTTATTTTCACGTAGATGGGAAGTTTGTGGAAAAGGACAATGGCGAAGTTAAATACTGTGGTGGGACTGTCAGAGTAAGAGTAATAAATGAGGGTACAAAACTTGAAGATTTGAGGGCAATGATAGGCGAATGGTTCAGCATGGATTGTCATGGCTGTGATATTAAATACACTTTGAGTTTTGACGAGAGGGTATTGGTAGATCTTATAGATGATGGTGAAGTTGATAATCTATTTGAATATAATGACCGTAATGCACATATTTATATAGCACATAAAGGTAATGACAATGTGGAGGAAGGAATGGGTTATCCAGAAATGTAAGTGAGAAATTTTTTTTTGGTGGTTATGAAAGTTGATAATTGTTGTAATGTTGTAGTAAATCTCTTAACAACAGTGGTAATTATAAATGCAGGATCTCAAGAATGGAAGGACTGTCAGAACAGAGTGATGAGCCTACGTTGGAGGGAAATGCTTTGGAAAGTACAAGTTCTGGAGGCAGTGAAAGACCTAATGTAAGCCTACCATACGGAGTAGTGAGTGCACCTACACCTTTGCCGGAGATGAATTCTTTGAAATGGAAGGAATTGTTGTTAGGACGGAACCAAACTTTTGCAAATGCAGAAGATTTCAAGAAGAAAGTACATAAGTTCAGTATTGCAAACAAGTTTGAGTACAAGTATGTGAAAAATTGTAGGGGAAAAATGTATGTGAAATGTAGTGTTGAAGGTTGTCCGTGGAGGATAAGTGCAAGAGTGGGGAGAAAGAGTACTCCCTTTTTACGTGTGGCAACATTCATAAATGAGCATGTCCATAATGCACAAGACAATCTTTGTGTGGAACATTGTGGTTCAGCTAGCTTGACAGCATCAATCATCAGAGATGAGGTAAATGATCACATAGACAGGCGTCCAAATGATATAAGGAAGACTTTAGAAAGAGATTATGGTATGAAGTTGACATATAAACAAGCATACAGGGCAAAGCAAAAAGCTTTAGAGGACATACATGGCAGGCCTGACCAGTCTTATATGCTTATTCCGTGGATATGTGAACGGTTGAAGGAAACAGATAACAAAACCGTGGCCAAATGGGTGGCTAATACTAATAACACATTTGAGCGTGCATTCATAGCATATGGGTGTTGTATAGAAGGCTTTATAGCTGGTGCTAGACATGTACTGTACATTGATGGATGTCATTTAAGTGGACCGTATAAGGGGACGTTACTGTCGGCGTCTGCTTATGATGCTGACAACGAATTGTTACCTTTTGCGATTGCTGTTGTAAAGGGAGAGACACTTGAGGATTGGACATGGTTCTTATATATGATTAAGGAGATAGTTGGCTCGATGGAATTGACAATTGTGTCAGATCGACACAATGCAATAATAGGCGCCGTGCAAGCAATATTTGGTGGTGAGAGGCATGCATACTGTTACAGACATGTTAAGGAAAACTTCAGTGCACAAATGATTAAATTAAATAGAGGAAAGAGGAAGACTAGTGGGAAAGCAAGGGAGGAGGGACTGCAATACCTGGATGCCATTGCATATGCAAGGCTTGACACCGAGTTTGATGGTGCAATGGATAACATGAGAAAGTTCAATCCACAATTATTTGAGTGGCTTCTTAATCATGGTGATGTTGAAAGGTGGGCCTTAAGTAAATTCCCATTTAAACGGTGGGATAACATCACAACAAACCTTGCTGAGTCATTCAATGCTTGGATGTTGAAAGAGAGACGATATAATGTTGCCCAACTTATACATGAGCATCGTGAGAAAGTGGCAAAGAAGATGTATGCAGCAAGCATAGCAATGAGTAATTGGAAAAATAGTGTAGGCCCAAACATAGATGCAAAGTTGGTGGACAATGTTGCTAGATCAGCATGCATGCTGAGTGTACCTTATGGAGGAGGTAGGGTGTGTGTCCATACAGCAAAAGGAGCTGTACATGTTGATCTTGGTCTAGGCGAATGCACCTGTGCAGCTTGGCAAATGTCAGGCATTCCATGTCCCCATGCCTGTGCAGCGATTAAGGCTGTGAATTGCAATGTCTATGATTTTGTTGATGAATGCTACAAGATTACATCACAGCAAAAGATTTATGGCAGGAGTATGATTCCAGTGGCGACAGTAGACATGCCAAATCCTAACAATTACTGGGTGGAAAATATAGGAAGTCAAGTGTTCTTGGCACCGCCTTTGACTAATCGACCGCCAGGAAGGCCTAAAGTAAAAAGACGAGAGTCACAGTTCCAGAATAGGAAGATCTACCATTGTAGCACATGCAAACAAGTTGGGCACACAAGAAGAACGTGCAAGAATCCAAACCCAAGTTGAACTTAGATGTCAATAGATATGGTGATTTTTTGGTGTAAATAGTGTTGCGTGAATGGTAAATCCCATTGCACGTGTAGTGTAGTTAGTATGAAAGTTATGGTTCAATGTTTACCGTGCTGTACTTGAGGTGCAGACATTTGAATATATGTAATGCATCTGCTGTCATATTGCTGCTGGTTTTTGGTAAATACTGTTGGGTGAATGGTAAATCCCATTGCACGTGTAGTTAGTATGAAAGTTAATGGTTCAATCATGTCATAAATACTGTATCAGCTGTCATATTGCTACTGTTTTTTGATAAATAGTGTTGCGTGAATGGTAAATCCCATTGCACGTGTAGTGTAGTTAGTATGAAAGTTATGGTTCAATGTTTACCGTGCTGTACTTGAGGTGCAGTCATTTGAATATATGCAATGCATCTGCTGTCATATTGCTACTGGTTTTTGGTAAATACTGTTGCGTGAATGGTAAATCCCATTGCACGTGTAGTTAGTGTAGCTACTATGAAAGTAAACGGTTCATGTTTATCGTGATGTACTTGAGGTGCAGTGATTTGAATATATGTAACGTATCTGCTGTCATATTGCTGCATTGTATTGTTCATGGCAGAAAATCTGCCCAGCCCGGCAAGAAGGTGCAAAACCCAGTATAAAAGTAGTAAATACCATTGAAAGAGTTGTAAATCCCTCCGTATGTTTTGCAAAATTGACCTCCGACCTTTACCGTTTTGAGACCAAAGTTGCGCAGGCCAATTTTTTTGGGATGCAAAACCCACTGTAAAAGTTGTAAATCTCAGTTGAAGAGTTGTAAATCCCTCCGTGTGTTTTGCAAAATTCACGTCCGACCTTAACCCTTTTGAGACCAAAGTTGCGCAGGCCAATTTTTTTGGGATGCTAAACCCACTGTAAAAGTAGTAAATCTCAGTTGGAGAGTTGTAAATCCCTCCGTGTGTTTTGCAAAATTGACCTCCGACCTTTACCGTTTTGACACCAAAGTTGCGCAGGCCAATTTTTTTAAGGATGCAAAACCCACTGTAAAAGTAGTAAATCTCAGTTGGAGAGTTGTAAATCCCTCCGTGTGTTTTGCAAAATTGACCTCCGACCTTGACCGTTTTGAGACCAAAGTTGCGCAGGCCAATTTTTTTGGGATGCAAAACCCACTGTAAAAGTTGTAAATCTCAGTTGAAGAGTTGTAAATCCCTCCGTGTGTTTTGCAAAATTCACGTCCGACCTTAACCCTTTTGAGACCAAAGTTGCGCAGGCCAATTTTTTTGGGATGCTAAACCCACTGTAAAAGTAGTAAATCTCAGTTGGAGAGTTGTAAATCCCTCCGTGTGTTTTGCAAAATTGACCTCCGACCTTTACCGTTTTGACACCAAAGTTGCGCAGGCCAATTTTTTTAAGGATGCAAAACCCACTGTAAAAGTAGTAAATCTCAGTTGGAGAGTTGTAAATCCCTCCGTGTGTTTTGCAAAATTGACCTCCGACCTTGACCGTTTTGACACCAAAGTTGCGCAGGCCAATTTTTTTAGGGATGCAAAACCCACTGTAAAAGTTGTAAATCTCAGTTGGAGAGTTGTAAATCCCTCCGTGTGTTTTGCAAAATTCACGTCCGACCTTAACCCTTTTGAGACCAAAGTTGCGCAGGCCAATTTTTTTGGGATGCTAAACCCACTGTAAAAGTTGTAAATCTCA